TTTAAAATTTTCCTTTTTATATTTATTTTTTAAGGTATACGCCCTTATATTAAGAACCAAAACATTCTTTTTTGCGCACTAACCACACGAAACTCAGATAAGCCTGGCTTAGCAAAAAAAGAAAGCTTTTTTTTTCCAAGATCTATAAAATCATATTTTCGCATGCCTCTTGTCAAATCTGCTTGGCAAACGCGTTGCAAGAATAAAACATATTAAATAATAAAACGAATGCCAAGCGTGACCACGAGCGTGACTTGCTACACGGACCGTGTGATAATTCGCTTCCTTCAAGCAAAAACCGCCAAGCCCAAGCCTGTGAAGGGCGCGCCGGGGGGAGAATCGGGCCTTGGCACGGCTGCGGCGCCCGGCGCTGAACTTTAATCCGCTGGATAAACCGCCGAGCCGCTGCCGCCGGGGTTGCCCGGCGGTCCCGAGCCTTTATGACCTCTCAAGTGGCGCTGGGACTGCTCTGCCCAGCGAAACCGGGCTCAAAAAGCAGAAACGCGCGTAGATCGTTGATCTCCGCGCGTTTTTGCGTTTTCCCGGGCGTGGCGGGTGTCATCTTGCGTCTGCGCGGCGGCCCGCGGCAAGCAACCGAGGCCGGGGGCCAGCGTAGCCGGAACAGCTATGCAGGAATCCGGCCACGACAGAGCCCAGCGCGGCCAAAACCTTGGTATAACGCAAAATCGCGCGTAGATCGTCGATCTACGCGTGTTTTGCGTTTTCCTGGCGCCGCGGCCCCGCTGCAAGCAACCAAGGCCAAAAAACCAGCGTAGCCGGAACAGCTATGCCGGATTCCGGCCACGACAGAGCCCAGCGCGGCCAAAACCCTGGTATAACGCAAAATCGTGCTGTAGCTCGATTTTGAAGACATATTTTCGCATGAATAGTCAAATCTGCCAACTCCACCTCGTTACCTTGTTTAATCTTGCTCCAAATTGTGCAGATGCCTGCAATACAATACTAAGAATGCCTTAAGAATTTGAGGGACCCTCGGCCTGTTGTAATGTAAATTTGCCTCTATTTAAAAACAAGAATTTGAGGGACCCTGGACCTCAAGCTTTCGGATTCTTCACCAGCGCTCGGGCTGTATTTTGAATTTATATATTTCCTTTTATGACGAATTATATTATATATACATATCCAATGACATCTATTTCAAAGATTTATAGAATTTAATTGGCTTTTTTATGCAAGAATTCATTATCTATCCGAGATGAAAGATAGCCGTTGGCTAACTCACAGATGGTCCTTATCAATGTGTAAGTTTGTTCGGAGATTTCCAGTCAATATGTACCATCTGTAGGAAACCTATTGTTGAAACTTGCACTATGGACCTGCAGGCCTTAAAATCCATGACAAGACCCCAAAACGCCGCTTGCGCAGCGGTTTCGAGCAAAACAGTGCTATGGGATTCTCTGACCAGCATGCTTGAACAGCCACAAAGTGCAAACAAGTTGTCCAAATTCAGTGTCGTTGTGCGTCGTTGTGGTAGTTACACCAAGGAAAACTGCAGGGCAATTCGGAATCACAGGTACTGAAATGACACCGATAGAAATGATATGATATGCACTTGCGTAAACGAGTCAGTGGGCACAACGAGACATTGGACGACCTTCTCTGACAGCATCCTTGGGAGTCGTACAGCTAGTATCAGTGAGGAGTACTGACATCAGGCAAGAGCCGATGCTGTCAGAATCTGTAGAGTCGGGTTTGTCCAAAAGATTCCAAAAGTAGGGTTCCTGCAGATTCTTATTGGTTATAGTTACAGGATAGTTGTTATTAAACTACCATTTCAGGGTATCCTCAATTTTGGAACAAACCAAGTCTGCTGCAGCTTGGCTGAGCAAACCAACGAAATATCACCGCCAAACTTTGGGCAGAGAGAAGTCAAAGTCTTCGTCACCTTGTGAGATGGTGCGATCAGCTGATGTATGCAGATATCAAGCAAAGGATTGGGGCAAGGATGCCACATGATGCCACGGATTGCTCACTTTTACAAACAAAAAAGACACAAAACCACTTTCTTGGAAGAAACACGGTTGATTAAACAGAGACGACCATCTGAAGGAAAGCAAACCAACGGGCAAGCTAAGTGTTGGGCTGGACCAATCGTCTGTGTTCTCCAGATTGCTATCTCCTTTGTCCTGTGTCATTTGAAGCCAATGCTGTAAGTTACCGAAGGAATTGCAGAGCTTTTGCAACGGTGCAGATATAAGACATTGGTTTGTTGCTTGAACATCCTTACAATGTCTCTCAACTCCCTTCCCTTGCCACCTTCGTGTCAGGATCGTAGCAGTCATAGAGAGGCCCATAAGACTTTGGAAGATTCATGTTGCCTTAGAAATCACAAGGCCTGGTGGCTGATGGTGACAGGTCCTTCAACATAAATGGTTAACGCTGGCGCAGATGAAGGCAGCGTCTCATCAGTTGAGATTTGACGTGTTTAATGATGCAGTCCCATCCCCTCTTCACAATGAACCTCCAATATGGGACCCCAAAATGAAAGGATTCAATAATAGTAGATATAGTAGTAATAATAATAAACACAGGTTTCTGAGCAGGTGCTTGTCAGTGAGCGAAGGGATTGTCAAGTTTCAACTGTATACTGTATAAAGCACCTGAAATGTAACTTTGCCAAGACACTGTCACCCTGTGGACAGATGGTATCATCCAGAGAACGGTCTGAACAGTCGAACTTCCCAACTTGGAAATCCTGAAATTCGGAATCGATCACATGGTGATCTTCTTCAGAATCGGAGAACCACCAAGCACCTGTTGGGGAGTCGCATTGCGTCGTGCATTCATTGTTGATCTCGCACGCTTCACAATCGCTACTACATGTTCTCTGTGGGTGGGAAACTATTCTTCTCCTCCGCACTCTTGGCGTCAACTTGAAATGCTCCATCCCTTCACTTGGCTTGACGGTGTCCAATGGCATGGAAGGAACTTGTCGTTCCTGCGTGGACTCTGACTTTCTCCTGTACAGCTCACTTTCTGTTGCAATGAGCTTGCAAGAGAATCGCTGCAGACGTGCCTGCCATTTCCAAGACCCTGGTCCCAACCATAGGTAGTTTTTAAGTGAAACAATGGAAAACATCAGAAAACATCAGTTTTAACACCAGCATATACTAAAATTGCGAGTACCCTACCCGCAACTCTGGCATCCTAGTTGCTCGTTCATGCTGAAGCTCCTTGCGCAATGCCTTCACAGCACTTCGCTCCTCGGAGAATGCTGACTTCGTCGTCCGCAAATTATGCTGCATCGCAGCGCACAAATCGATGAGGTCTCTGCGACTCAAATGCGCAAAGTCCTACAGTGATCCAAAAAAAAAGGCGCAGAAATGATCAAAGATATTCAGAAAAAGAAACGGATGAAACGCACAAGTTTGGTCAAAAGCAAAACAATACGGAGGCGGCGTCTATATAAATGACAACAGATGAAAACTAAGCGGCAAAGTCCACGTCTTCTAGTGCCACTGTCTCAAGCTTTTGGCCTTTCGGCGAGTCATCGGTGTTGTTCTCCACTTCAAAATCTGGCAGCGAGCGCCAGTGAACCAGCGATCTTTCAGCATCTACCCAATTTGCATTCTCATCTGATCGTCCTGGTCACCCGAGTGGTCAGCAAACGAACAAGGAACACATACTGAATTGTTTGCTAAAAAGATCATAAATCTCGTTGTGGCACTACGACAAAATCAACAAGAAACTTAAAGCTGAGAATGCCTCATGATGTCATGCTACCAGAAGGTCTTAGAAGTACCATCCACATGTCTAAAAGTGTCTCAAACACAGCTTACAACCTTCGCACACCATCTCACTCCGTCTCCGTCGGAATCTGGTCCTGTTTCACGCCAGAATTGGAAGGCACGTCGGGTCACGTCTGCCTGTGCTCTTTGCAGCAAGCCGACCCCTGTTCCGCCCTCCACCAGCTTTGAGAGAAACCGAGGTGAGAGCTCGAAGTTCGCAGGATCATGGCAAAAGAGCATTTTGCAGAAGGCATCCTAGAATCAAATGAAGACAGTTCAGCCATGGAAAAGTCAAACAGTTTCTACATTATATAAATTAGATAGTTTGTGATAGTTTGATTCTTAAGGGACACGTTTGGAGCGCAGACGTCAAAGTTGCCGGCGACGGCTCGGGTCATCACTAGTTGCGGCTCAAAGAGGCAGCGGCACCACTAGCGCTGTCTCCAGCGAGGCAAAGGTCCAAAAGGTTCACAATGTTGACATCTGACGCATCTTTTGTTGGGCAGACAGTCTCCTAGAATGGATTGTGATAATGCCAAATATATTGGGTAGATTTGGGTAGTAAAAAAAAACAATAATCGTCAACCAGCAAAGGGTTTGAACACTGCTGAAACACACTTGGTACATCAATCAATCATCACCCTGAGATCCTGGCATGATCAAGTAAAAATCTTCACGCCGAACCATTTGCGCAAACCGGGAGTATGCTGTTTTTTGCCATAGGTGCGATGCAAACGTGCTCAACGCAGACCGCTTTGGGTCTTTGACCATCTCAAGTGATCAAACCCAGCTCTCTGTACAAGGCCATGTATGCCTAGGCCAGCAAAATACATGTATGACCGTATACGTCAGATGGGTAATTCATATCGCAGCATGACCATTTATAAAATTTTGTACCAATGAGTGCCGAGAAGGATAGTACAGTTCATGAAAAAAGGAAAACGCAAAGGTCGAAAAAGACCCAAAAAGAATCAAAAAGGAACAGCAAAAGCATGCAAGAGTGAAGATTTCATCCCTGCCGCGTATTTTTTTTTCGCTATTCAGTGCTATATCATAATATACATGACCACCTGTTGATCAGTACAGCTGCTACTCATGGAATCCAATGTGGCTTGGCTTCCGGCCGCGATAAATTCTTTCAGCCAATGGTGGACAACTTCCATATTCACCTCATCAAGATCCGCTGGAAAGGACCAAACTATCAAACTGTTGTGGTTTCCGAACACACTGTTGCAACGAAACGAAGAATTGCGGAGGCGATGGCTATAGATTCTCGCCTAGAACCTCTGAACATTTTTCACATCAGTCCACAATGCCGTCCAGGGGTGAATTTCGAAAGCCGCAGAATATGTGTATGCATATATATATATATGTATATATATATACACACATGTATGCATACACACACACACATATATATATATATATATATGTATGTATGTGTATATATATATATACACCTATTCATTTTGTATTTCCTCTTTTGAAGAATTGTGTGCCCAGAGGCAAATCGTTCACTCAGAACAAAGCAAATCCAACGTGCAAACGATTCTGTCCGCTGCAAACGTACTCACATGCGGGATTGTTCCAAAACTATATAATGGATTTACACCCCTACTCCCCAAGTAATATGTAATAATGTACAATCGAGCAATTTTCTTGATCGTGGACAAATCGCTTGCGGAAAAGCCTCCACGACCCGGTCACAGCAGGGTCACAGCAATCAATCAAAACGCAAGGGGATTGCATTCATGTGAAGGATATAAAGTACCAGCAAAAGGAATCTTGTCTATAATCTATAATTACTTTTCATTAGAAATCAGTTCCAATGGATTCCATTCATAATTAGTTTCCGTTGCAACTGGGATTATAATTGGCTTCAATATGCCTATATTGCCTATATCATATCATATCATATATATATATTATGTATATATATATATATTATGTATATATATATATATATTATGTATATATATATATTATGTATATATATATATACTATGTATATATTCATAATATATATATATATATTTTTGTCATGTATATATATATATTTATTATGTATATATATATACTGTATATATTTATTATGTATATATATATATATATTATGTATATATAGAGATAATTCCGTTGATCCCATTTATTCTTAACAAACCATTGAGGAGGGGATAATTGAGAATAAGATGATTATGGGATGAATAACAAGCTGGTTTTAATTGATTCCATTAGCTTCCATTGACACTGTTCCAATAGTTTCCTTATTATTTCCCTATTATTTCCCTGTTGTTCCTGTTGTTTCCCTATTGTCTCCCCATTCGTTCCTGATTATTTCCCTATTATTTCCCTATTATTTTCCTAGTGCTGTATTTCCTTACTATTTCCTTATTGTTTCCCTATTATTAGTTCCCTATTATTTCCCTATTGTTCTCTATTTTTCCTTGCTATCTCATGATTATTTCCATATTATTTCCCTGTTATTTCCCTATAATTTCCATATTATCCCATGATTTGTCTTTAATTTCCGTGCAATTTCGCTATTCTTTCCTTATTATTTATTGATTATGTTGTCGTTTAATTTTCCCTGCTATGATCTCTCACCTGTGTAAGCTAAATATGCTGAAAAACCTCGCCAAATAACAAATGATCATCCAACCCAACGAAATACAGGAACGAAATACAGGGATTTGACCCTTAAAATCGTTTAAGCCACTCAAAAAAAATTGAACATCCTTTGGGCACAGCCACAGTTTCTACGACTTGTGGAGAGCTCCAGCTGACAATATAAAAGCAAAACATAAGAATCGCTACGGCTTTGATCCTTGATTGTCTAGCCATTCTTGGATGGCGAACATGATGCTGTCGACCACACGATGGAATGTGTGTTTGTCTGAAGATAGGGTACCCCTGATTCAATAGGTTCATCTCCATTTACCCCATATGAACTGCCATAACTTGCGGGTATACCCCATTTTCAAAGAGATCTATTACTGTACAGTAATTTACTACAGTACTCATCCATAATTTCCTATAAAATCCGATTACATCCCATTGAATACAACCCACCAACTAGAATTTTCAGACCCAACAACCCAAGGTCTAGGTTGCCAACCCACTCGTCTAGCTCCTGAAAGGCGACGTCGGGGAAAATCGTCAAGAAAACCATTGATTCTATATGATTTTATGACCAACTATCATATGAATGGCGGACAAAATTACTTGAAAATCCCAAGTCCACTCCCTACTACTTTAGTCTTGCACTAATTTTGTCGCTTGTTCAGTTCATCTTTGTGTAAAATGCTTCCTATTCCATGGTTCCCCATAGGAAACTCACTGAACTTTTCTCTTGAACATCCTGAAGCCATTCTTGTGAGACTTGAGATGGCTATACCATGCCGAATCCTTGACCATAAGCGGCTGGAGGCCAAGAGCTTCTCCCATTTGATGCATAAGATCAAGAAAGTCTTGCCTCCGGAAAAGAAAGGGAATGAACATCTGGTAACAGCCACAAAGTCATCTTAAGAACAACAATTCCAAGAGTGATCCCTTCCAAGTTTCGGATCAGCCAAACACAAGATTCTGGAGTTTTAGCCTGTCAACTTCTACTGACTGAGATTCTTATCACTTGGTCCATGGCTAGGTTGTGTTCAGATCAAATACAACTCACAAGAGGCTGAACTGAGTGAGAAACATCCCCAGATGGCTGGTGATCTGACAGGACTTCAGCAAGTTGTACAAATTCATCACCTTGCTCTGCGTTCGACAATCTGCTGAAAAAGAAAACATAACTGTTCAGACCAATTGCAACGCCCTATTGGAACATACTGTACTAGGAACACAGTGGGAAACAGTAGCACAGTCCACCCAAGAGGATTCCCTTCAAAGACTCTCGTGAGAAATGATGTTGATGTTGTTTGTTTCGTGAATATGTTGTCCTTGAATGTTTGCATTCATTTGCCCGACATGCCCGACATGTGCACGGTGCAGTGCTCAGGACGTCGCTGCATCATTATGAATGTAGAAGGTGAGTCGACCATTTTCATCCATCTCCGTTCCCTTGGCGGCAGCTTGGCTCAGGAAAAAACATGAAGAGGGAATGATGTGGCAGGGATATGTTTGTAGCCACTTTGACAAGTAAACGCGCACACACGCGCACACACACACACACGCATCTAGTTTTGACCAAAATGGAATAAATAGACATCTATGGTAAATTATGCGTATAGTAATACTATAATATATATATATAGAGCGTTTTTGCCATGGCACTTCGCCCTTTTCAGCACACAAGGCGAAAAGTATTATTGCAACACTTTAAGCGGTATTTCTCCAACAGGTTCAAGTTGAGGAATCTTCTTCTGGACGAGCTGGTTTGATCTATCCATATTTGGCCTAAACAAATAAGAAAGAGAGTTTGTCTGAGAATAGGATACCCCCCGAAATGCACTGGTTGATCTTTATCTTCTCATTTGTAAAGGCCATAACTTGAGGGTATAGCCCATTGTAAGACATATATATCTATCATCCATTATATTCTATTGCCTATAAATATTGGTTCCCGATAAAAAAATATATCTCATGCTATCCCAATCATTTCGTATAAATCCCACTACATCCCATTAGCATATGCGGTTTGTGAGTCCCTCTGGCAATTTTTTGTCTGTCACAAAGGCGCAGAACTTGCCTTGGGGAGCATCTCAGTGCGTGTCACAAAGCTCACCTAGCCATCCTTGTCATACTGTGGAATAAGAGTTAACTAGGATATATACGGTAAAGGCTGGAGGTTCCCCGGAAGGTAATGTAACTTGATTTTTTCTCATACAAGAAATGCTACTTTTTACTGTGTTTTGACATGTTTCCTGCCATTCCTTCAACATGATAATACGTTCAATCTATTAACTTCGGCGCAAACATAGTTGACTTTTGTTCGCATGATAATTCAAGAATTTCACTCTTATGATCTTTGTCATTCAATGTCGAAATTGAAGAAACCATTGGAATTGCGGATTCATGGAATTCATCCTTTTCCTGTGAAGAGCTTGAAACCTCATAATTCCCCAGAGAACCATGGTCGAAATGCAGATGGCTTTCTCCTTACTTCACATCCAGAACGCAGTTTCGAGACTCTCAGTGGGACAGCACCGTTCACTTTGTGACGGTGACATCTGAGTTCCAGGGACTTGAGACCAGGCTTGTGATGGTAACAACATCCTCAACGTAACAACATCTTCAACGTAGCAAC